ATAAAAGAAATAGATGAAGGCAACTTTAAAATACATTGGTGGCATCATCTGGTAAGGAGGTAAGGCAGGGAAATCTATGGCACAGAGCTTAGATTCCAACTAATAGTATTCTTAGCCTTTGGTTTGGGGGAAGCTGGAGGCTTGTTAGGGTTTAGCTAATAGTCACAAAGATGTCAGGTCACAAACAGAGGTGAATAATGATGGCTATTAAAGGGGTTACAGACCCACTATAATTTAGCTCCAGACCTACAACATTCTTACTCTTCACAATCACAAAAGTTGTAATCAGCCTATCATCCTTATAGAATCAGTAATAGTGCCAAGATTCTTTTTGTCTGGGAACTTAGGATGTTAAAGCAATAATATATATGTGTATTGCTAATTATTCTATTACATTTTCTTGTCTCATAGATACACTGTCATTCTTGTTATTTGTTTTGAATCAATAACATTTTGGTAAAGAAAAGTACAGAGTAATAATTAGTTTAAATAAATACATATATTTATATTTCATTTCAGAATGATAGAGTACATATAGTACACACACATGCTGCTAACTGTCTGTGCTTTACTTCCTCGTGTGGCTGAGTTAGTAGTGACATATTTAAAAAAATATTCCTCTTGAGTTAGGTGTAGTAATCTAGTACTTAGGAGGGAGAGGCAGGCAGAACACTATAAGTTCAAGTCCAACCTGGACTACAGCACAGAAAGGGCTACAGACTGAGACACTGACTTGAGAAGAAAGGAAGGAAGATATATAGGGATGGGGAAGGAACAAACAAACAAAAATTGGTGAGCTTGAATTTTAGCTGCTGATCTGTAAGATTTCTGAAATATCTTATTTCAGCAAATGGTATGACACGAGAGACCATGAGGCTAAATAGCCGAAGGGCATTGCTTATACAAGTAACTTTTTTTTTTATGGAAAACATTTTTTTTATTAATTACACTTTATTCATTTTGTATCCCCCCATAAGCCCCTCCCTTCTCCCCTCCCGATCCCACCCTCCCTCCCCTTTCTGCATGCATGTCACTCCCCAAGTCCACTGATAGGGGAGGTTCAGATACTGTTAGCATTCCATGACCCCAAATAATTATTTGTTATATAGTAGGTAGAAGTTCTTCATATTGCTGATGACATATTTTAGTATCCTTTTCATTTGTTTTTGAAACATTGAAATGAAATGTAGTTGTGTATCCATTTTTATTTGATATTTCCAAATGTTAAAAAAAAACCCTCAACATTCTTACACCAGTGAGAGTAAGACATCTCAAATAGGAAAGATCATGTAAAGCAATTCAGTGTTTATAGCAATTATTTCTCCAGCTACCTATGCTACCTTGCACAATGGTGCAATTCATCTGGATGGCAGGTTGTTGGCTATAAAAAAGTCATTTTGTTACAAAAACAACAATTAAGGTAGTTTCTACTTTGTCTGAAAGCCAGTTTATCAGTTTATAATAACTTTTCATTCTGGTGTTTGTTTGTTTGTTTGTTTGTTTAGAAAAATATAGAAGAAATGTAAGGACCTGATTTCATTCCATTTCCCAAAACTAGATACAAATGACAGCATTGCAAATGTTGGAGATTTGAGGCAACACACATTACCTGTTTTGTTTAGTAGCTTCAGCTGTCTATACTGGCTTGCCCTCTAATTTTCATATGTCAGGTTCTGGAACAATAGTGAAGACTCCATTACAGGCACACTACCTTTAATCCCAGCTCTTGAGAGGCAGAGGCAGGCAGATCTCTGTGAGTTCAAGGCCAGCCTGGTCTACACAGCAAGTCCAGGACAGCCAAGAGAAATCCTGTCTCGGGACACACACACACACACACACACACACACACACACACACACACACACGCAAAGAAACAAAAAGGAAAAGAATGTGCAAACTACATTCTCTTGCATCATACAGTCTTTCTCAGCTGTGCTCTTACCCACCAATCTACTTTCTCAGGACTTAAATACCTCCATGTCATAGAGAGTACTGGAAGGCCAGAAAGAGACAGGACAGGTTCATATTCACAAAACAAGGAAACAGACACTCTCCCTGCAGCCTTAGTGAGGGGCAGGCAAAGTCTACTGTCTCTCTTTAGGGATTCTGCCTCAGGAACATGCTAAGAGCAGAAACAAGAAAACATGCCTCTGTGTTGTTTGTTCCTCATGATTTTTTTAAATTGCCAGTCACCCAAACTTCATAAGATCCTCCTGCTCCCATCCTGGGCCATTTCCTATGAAGTGAGCAGGCTTGTTACTCGATAGCTCCTACAATATATACTGCTCCACCATGAACCCCAAAGCAGTGGGGCCAAAGGAACCTACAGTGAAACCTCTGAATTAGGGCTCAGCCTCTGCTCCCATAGGCTGAGTTCTCTCAGGTGCAGTGAAACAATCACTTCTCTTATTAGGACAAACCATCCTTCATAGTTTATGCACAGCTTGCCCAAAGAGTTACAGAGTTAATAATGATAGGAAAGTTTGTGAAAACTTTTCTCTTGGCACCCAGGGAAATATTCTTATTAACAAATTTCCTCTGAGGAGAACTGACTCTCATTTCAACTTCTCATCTTATAGTCACCATAGGGGAACTGGAGAACTATGGTGTTTCTCCTTCCCAGAACACACTGGCCTGCTAGGTTAGAAAGTTCAAATAGATGAATCTGTTTAAAGCTTTAGAGATAGTGGTTTCCAACCTTTCTAGCACTGCCACCGTTTAATACAGTGTTTCATGTTATGGTGACCCCAGCCATAACATTATTTCATTGCTACTTTATAACTGTAACTATGCTACTGTTTTAGACTGTAATGTAAATATCAGATATGCAGGATGTCTGATATTCAACCCCCAAAGGGGCTGTGAGCCACAGCTTGAAATACACTGCTATAAAGTCATTGACTCTAATGTTGGAGAGTGATTAATTAGGTGTCAGTTCTAACTCTGGGAGAGCTGAATCCTTATCACAAACTTTCTGTGGAGAGATGGCAACTTTTGCAGAGAAATCAATGTTGCAGACAACATTTTCATTGGTAAATAATATTCTTGCAGCAAGCCTGAGCATAGTAGTTTTCCTAGGGACTGTCAAATGAAAAGGAACTTCTGGGATGTGAACTCCTTTAATACCCAAAGTGCTATCCTTTGTGCTTCCTATAGCACATCCTTGTATAAGAATATTAGTGAAGAGTTGACTTGTATTTCTTGATGCATGTTCCTACACATGAGCTGCCAAGGACGGTTGTTGGGTAAACTGAGCACTCACTTTGAAAGGACCCTGAAGTAGACAGTTGATCACTTTTCCTGCAATCTATTTACCAGGCATTATCTCATCTTCTGATTCTAAGGTAGGTACTGAGAACAAGAAGTATCAGGTAATGCTTTCTATAAGGGCTTCTATGTATACTGATGCTTATTAATGTACCCAGGTTTATGATATAACAACCTTAGCACATCTAACCTACAGCGTAGCTTAAACCAAGTACATTGTGAAGTATTGCTTGCTTGTGACTGGGTAACTGGCTGCAAGCTACAGCTCACATTTGTTCAGCATCTCAAATATATCACTCCAGGCTCTACCATAGCAAAAGGTCAAAGATCAAGGCTTGCAGTTTTGTTCCTACTGAATAGATATAGCTTTTACACCTCTATAAAGTTTTTCTTTCTTTCTTTCTTTCTTTCTTTCTTTCTTTCTTTCTTTCTTTTTTTAAGGAGTACTTGCCAATTTGTTATACTAGGAATGGTCTCTACTGGGATTCAGAGTTCATCACAGACAGGACTTTTAATTTTCAATTAACAAAAGACACTGTTAAGGCGCAGAGAGGTTAAGCATTTGATCTGAGCTTGGATCTGTAATCAGGCCTGATTACATTATTTACGCTTCCTTTCCCCTAATCTTAAGAATAATATCTTTCTGCACTTTGGCCCCTGAGAACAGACTCTAATTGGTTCCCTACAGATTGAGGGAAAAAGAATTTCTATTTCTCTACCTCCCCACCCTACCTAACCTGTATGTGCCCCTTGTGACAAGACTTACAAAGTTGTCAAGAAAGAAGGGTAGCAGAAGAATAATGGGAGCCTGAGTTACCTAGACCTTAAAATAAACAAAGCAGTAGAGACATTATGGAGGTAGTGAAGGGGTGTGTGTGAAGAATTGAAGTTTGTTTGTTTGTTGTTTGTTTGTTTGTTTTTTTTTTTTTGAGCTGGAATGGAAGTTGAAAAGATGAATGGAAAGGGAAGAAGTGTAAAAAGAATAAATGACGTTACAATAATATCTTTAGAGAAGGAGGTTTTCAACCTATGGGTCACAACCCCTTTGGGGGTCGAATGAGCCTTTCAAGGAAGTTTCATATCAAATATTTACATTATGATTCATAACAGTAGCAACATAACAGTTATAAAGTAGCAACGGGAGCTGGAGTGATGGTTCAGCAGTTAAGATTGCTGACTGCTCTTACAGAGGACACAGGTTCAAATCCTAGCATCCACATGGCAGCTCACAACTGTCTGTAATCCAAGATCTGATACTCTCATATACATGCTCGTAGGCAAAACACCAATACACATAAAATGAAGGTGAATAAATTTTAAAAATAACGTAGCAAAAGAAATGATTTTATGGTTGGGGATCAGCATGGCAGGAACTGAATTAGATACCAAAGGAAGATGCAAAAGGAAAGAGACATTTTTGAGAATATCAAAGCACATATTCACAACTGTAATTCAGTTTTAGGAAATGTTCTAAGAAATGGAAGTAGGGGCCCTATGGCAGGGTGCTGCCTAGAAGAAACAGCAATTGTTGCCATCATGAGCCTTCTCAAGCAGGCATTTGAAAAAAAAAAAAAAAGGAGATGGCTCGTCCTAGAGACACAGCATTATACCTCTAAAAGCTTTGCTGGAGTTAATTAAGGATCTTCATAGAGGGTTTGGAAGGAGTTACTGTGTATTGGATGTTGCAGTCCTAAGAACACTAAGCAAACTACAGGCAGACATATCTTATCAGAATGCACAGATTCACCGTGGGAGGAAGGATTCTTTTTGGTAAAAACTAAACAGGACATTAGCCAAAGAGGAGAAAATTATCTCAAACTTCAGTATAGTTTTATGAGGACCAATGCACCTTGATAATACAGACTTCCCTCAGATGTCAGAACTGAGAGATGTCCAGTCTAATAGGCACCCATGTGAAATATCAGATTCAGAGCTGTCTAGTCTTTTGAGAATTATACTCTACAAACCCATCTCCTCATGTTCCCTATAAGTTACTGCACCTGGTGTGGATACACGCACGCCATTTAGCAGGGTACAGGCAACAGGATGCCCATGAGTTCCTCATCGCTGCACTAGATGTCCTGCACAGGCACTGCAAAGGCGATGATGTTGGCAAGGTGGCCAGCAATCCCAACCACTGTAACTGCATCATAGACCAAATCTTCACAGGTGGCCTGCAGTCCGATGTCACCTGTCAAACTTGCCATGGTGTCTCTACCACTATAAACCCATGCTGGGACATTAGTCTGGACTTGCCTGGATCTTGCACATCCTTCTGGCCCATGAGTCCAGGGAGAGAGAGCAGTGTGAATGGGGAAAGCCACATACCAGGCATTACTACCCTCACGGACTGCTTGTGAAGGTTTACAAGGCCAGAGCACTTAGGAAGTACTGCCAAAATCAAAGGTGGTGGTTGTCAATGCTACCAAGAACCTACCAAACAGCTCACCATGAAGAAGTTGCCAGTTGTTGCCTGCTTTCATTTCAAACGGTTTGAACACTCAGCCAAACAGAGGCGAAAGATCACTACATATATTTCCTTTCCCCTGGAGCTGGATATGACACCATTTATGGCGTCAAGTAAGGAGACCCGAATGAATGGACAGTTGCAGCTGCCAACCAATAGTAGGAATAACGAGAATAAGTATTCTTTGTTTGCTGTGATTAATCACCAAGGAACTTTGGAGAGTGGCCTCTACACCAGCGTCATTCAGCACCACAGGGATCAGTGTTTCAAGTGTGATGATGTCATCATCACCAAGGCCAGTATTAAGGATATGCTGGACAGGGAAGGATATTTACTGTTCTATCATAAACAGGTCCTGGAACATTATTAACTTTACACAACACAACACAACACACACACATACAAACACATGTAAAAAACTAAATGTGAAAGAAATACACAGCTTTCTGAAGCTACCTAACTACCTAAAATGATAGGTTATAGAATTTATACAACAGCAAGCACCAGGATATAAATTAACCTATTTATCACAAACGAGGGAAAGTTAGAGTAAGAAATAACCAGTGATCAGTGTCTACATGCTGTTTACTAGGTGAAGGTAGGGATTACTTCATTCCTATTAGTGCCTTAAATGCTATACGATAGTTACCCTTTTATTTTATAGGAAAAAATGGAATCAAATCTAAAAGAAATCAATGCTACCTACCTTATTTTAATGGAGGAGACATGTACAAAGAAACAACAAATTTATTTTTTCTACCATTCCTCTTATATACTGAATTCAGCATGAAAAGCAATGTAAAAAGGCTTTAATGTTTCATTTTTCTACAGTTTCACATCAAATATGTGAGGGTTTATAATACTAATCTCTATTCTTGACCTTGCAGTTCAGATGAACTGACAGTAAGAATATTCTATTCTGAAAGCAATCAAATAAATTGCAAAAGAAATCCCACTTCTTTACAAGACACAAACTGTTGGAAATTGTAAAATAAATAAGCCCATACCTATACTCCAGAACAATTAAGAGAAGTTATCAGTGGACTCAAACTGTGAGAAGTGCCCAAATGAGTGGCAGGAGATAGGGACAGGATCTTAGCCCACAAGGCGAATAAAGATTATTCCGAATGAAGAGCTGGTTGCAAGAATTCCTTAGATAGATGATAGATAGCTTTACTTTTGCAAATTGGGTTATAGCTACACTCACTTGGCAGGGGTCTTTGGTGGGCTCTGCTCTTAAAGAAATTTTTGTTTAGAAAATGGCCATTGGGAAGAGAATGACTTGATCGTATTGAACTCCTATGATATTTCATCTGCATGGAGATGCAGCTAGAAATAATGAAGGCAACTTTGCAGTGCTCTAGGCTCATGGAATGTCAAACTGTCAAAGAGGCAGTGGGCTCAAAAGAATATGCTCTAATGTGGAGTAACTACTGTACATACACTCTTGGACTCTTTGAAGGCTTCCATGCCCATGTACAATCTGACCTAACTCAATATACATAACTAAGCAAAGGCAACCTAGAGTACAGCACTGTCTGCAGATTGGATTGCAGCCAGTATGTGCTATTTAGTAATCATTTTCTGACCATAATGACTTTGTGGAAGTTGTCTGGATGACCATAGCTACTTTGCCTGATCTCAGGTCAAGACTTTAGTCTCTCTCTTTGCTTCACATCTTCAATATGGTGATTTAAAATTTTTCAAGTTTCCTTAAAGATCTGAAGAGTGTGAAAGTGAGGGGAGGGAGAGAAAGCATGGGAACTAAAGAGTAGGTCTCATTGTAACTTCTACCTTCTGTACCACATCTTAAATGAAGATAGACTATTTCCACATGCTCCAGTGAGTCTTTCCTGAGACGTTGAAAACATATGGAGCTGTACACTGAAAGGTTGTTGTTCACTCAGTTACTATTAAAACTGAAGCCTATAACTTCTGATCTGCTTCAGAACCATTTTCTTCACCTCAACCCCAGCCACCAATAAGTTTCATGGGAATTCGTGTTGGTTTAGGATGATACAGGCTATCTATCTATCTATCTATCTATCTATCTATCTATCTATCTATGATATAGGACACACATACACACACACACACACACACACACATATATATTCAACTTTTCAAATGCTGCAATGACCCTTTAATATAGTTCCTAATGTTGTGGTCACCCCCAACCATAAGAATATTTTCCTTGCTACTTCATAACTGTAATTCTGCTATGGTTGTGAATTGTAATATAAATATCTGACATACAGGATATCTGATATATGATCCCCGTGAAAAGGTCATTTGATGCACCAAAAGGGTTTGTAATCCCCAGGCTGAGAACTGCTGATATAGGGCAAGTGGGAGTCACTGAACAGCCCTTAGATGATCAACCTTTATCTATTACCCAATAGGGACTAGAAAGCAATGGAGTCAAGGGTACCTCTAAAAGTGTAAAAATAATATGCTGTATGACTTTTCCTAAGGAGGTATGAACATATGTCTATTCAACTCAGATAGGATATCAAAGAGAGACCAATAAAGAAGTACTACCCAAGTTAGGCTTAGCGAACCCATGATTTTACTTGAATTAGCTATGCAAGTATGGATGAGGGGTTACCTAGAGGAAGATGGATAACTCATAGACAGCTGCATCACCAAAAAGCCCAGCAATGGTGACTCCAGAAAGCTGCATGGCTGTAGCTACCTATATAACCTGTAGACAGTTCTACTGGTTAGAGACTCTCCTCTAACACACAATTGTAACTGATTATTATAGCCTTGGGAAGAGGGCCTTATGAATCCTTTATGTTTCAGAAATATTCTGAGACTTATGAGTTGTTCATAATAATAGTTGCTTTTCTGTTGTTATAATAAAATACCATAACAAAAGTACCTTAGAAAGAGAAGGGAATTATTCTGGCTCAAAGTTCCAGGCCACAGTCTGCCATCACAGAGAAGTTACCAGGAGGAGCTTCAGACAGCTGGTCATATCACATTTACAATCAAGAAGCAGAAAACAATGATTGCTTATACTCAGCTCCTTTTCTCCTTTAAACTGAGTTCAGTGCACAGCCCATGAAATGGTGCTGCCCACATTCAGGGTGGGTTTTCCCATTTCAAACACATTTTAAAACTCCCTTACAGGCATGCCTACAGGCAACCTTATCTAGTCTATGCCTCATTGAGACTCTCTTCTCAGGTGATTCCAAATCCAGCCAAATTGACAACTGAAGTCAAGTACCACACTTCCTAAGTCTTAGTAAGCTTCATTCCAGCACGCAATGTTATAACTCAGAGGAAACTGCTCTAGAACAGACATAAAAATTCACGCCTTTACAGCTGAGATACAGTGCTCCATGAAGCAGGTATTCAATGTGTCTACAGGAAATGACTGTTAGGTTGAGGATTCCCATGTATTGACTTTACTCTTGCCTAGTTCTAGCTTTGCTTTCTCTTCAATCCTGTTTAAACACAGCTAATCATTATAATCAGCTGGAATGCAATTTGTTTATTCTGTTTTGTACTGAGAATGCATTTCATTAATACTGTACTCAGCCTTTTGCAAAATGCCTTGGGAAGGCTATGATATTAAATTCAATTTTGAAGCCAGGCATGGTGGTCCATAAACAGACTGCCAACACTTGAGAGAATGAGTCAAAGACAAGTGACATGGCATGTAGGTCAGCATGGGTTAATGAGTTACAAGCTAGTCTGGACAAAAGAGTGAAGTGCTGCCTAAAACAAAATCAACACAAATAAACATATTCACTGTAGGAGTTCACTTTTTATTCATTGTAAAGCAAAATAGAACATTTTGCTATTTTATTTTAATGAGAATTTCTACCTGTACAAATCATATCTGAAAGACATTTCCTATACATTCTTTCCACAAAGACTGGCAGCAAGTTGGACAGAAAGGTCAGAGAGACCAGCCTTTTCTGTTTAGAACAAGTCAGAGAACTGGGATATTCAATAAACTCATCAAGGGCTTGGAACCGATACAAACTGGCCCAAAACTCATGTTCCCAGCACTCATTCAAAGACCATTCCTCTCCAGCAGGCATCTCCTTCCACACACACACACACACACACACACACACAGGTGTCTGGCCCTCACTCCGTGAAGTTCTGCTGGCAACGCTGTCGCCAGTAACACACCCTGCCCCACCACAGAGTTCATTGACTAGACAAAGCCATATCCTAGTCCAAAAAGCTGGGAGATGTGACAGTCTAGGAGCCCCATGGGGTCAGTTCCCCAGTAGGATTATAAACTGAGACACTGTCAGGCACACATTTCGTTCCTTCTAACCAAACAAGTACAAAATATCCACTTGGCTTTTAAGAAATGAGAGCACATATGAGAGGCAAGAGCAATGGCTCAGCAGTAAAGAGCACTTGCTGCTCTTCCAGAGGAATCAAGTCAGGTTGCCAGCACCTACATCCAGCAGATGGCAACCGCCTAGACTCAGTTCCAGGGGGTCCCACACCCTCTGTCAGCCCCTCCTGTACAGCACATGTGACACACACACACACACACACACACACACACACACACACACACACACA